CCCTTGGGGACCCAAAAATCATCCTGGGGACCCCAAAATCTCCCTTGGGGACCCAAAAATCATCCTGGGGACCCCAAAATCTCCCTTGGGGACCCCGAAATATCCCCTGGGGACCCCAAAATCCACTCGGGGACCCCCAAAATATCCCCTGGGGGTCTCAAAACCATCCTGGGCACCCCAAAATCCTGCTGGAGACCCCCAAAATATCCCTTGGCACCCCAAAATCATCCTGGGGACCCCAAAATATCCCTCGGGAACCCCAAAATGTCCATCGGGGACCCCAAAATCATCCTGGGGACCCCAAAATCTCCCCAGGGATCCCCAAAATCTCCCCTGGGGACCCCGAAAATGATCCTGGGACCCCCAAAATCCCCCAAAATATCCTTTGGGCACCCCAAAATCCCCCCAGGGGCCCCCAAAATATCCCCTGGGGACCCCAAAATCCACTCGGGGACCCCCAAAATATCCCCTGGGGGCCCCAAAATCTCCCCAGAGACCCCCAAAATCTCCCTCGGGGACCCCAAAAATGATCCCGGGGACCCCAAAATCCCCCCCGGGACCCTGAGGGACCCCAAAAATCCCCCCAAAATCGCCGACCCCCCGCAGCCGTCGGCGTTCGAGGAGCGCGCGGTGGCCAAGGTGGACGATCTGCTGGAGAGCTACATGGGCATCCGGGACAGCGAGCTGGGTGAGCCCCCCAAAAAACCGGGGGACCCCAAAATCCTGAACCCCAAAATCCTGAGAACCTCAAAATCCCAAAGGAACCCCAAAATCCCAAAGGAACCCCCAAAAAAACCCCCGGGATCACCCCAAAAACACCCTCCAGGCTCTGCTGGAGAGCTCCATGGGCATCCGGGACAGCGAGCTGGGGGAGCCACCCAAAATTGGGAACCCCAAAATCCTGAACCCCAAAATCCTGAGAACCTCAAAATCCCAAAGGAACCCCAAAAAAACCCCCCGGGCTCTGCTGGAGAGCTCCATGGGCATCCGGGACAGCGAGCTGGGTGAGCCCCCCAAAAAACTGGGGGACCCCAATGTCCCCAGTGTCCCCAATGTCCCCAGTGTCCCCGTTGTCCCCAGTGTCCCCAATGTCCCCATTGTCCCCAGTGTCCCCAATGTCCCCAGTGTCCCCAATGTCCCCAGTGTCCTCAATGTCCCCAGTGTCCCCGTTGTCCCCGGTGTCCCCAATGTCCCCAGTGTCCCCAATGTCCCCAATGTCCCCAGTGTCCCAAATCCCCCCAATCCCCCCGTTGTCCCCATGTCCCCAGTGTCCCCAGTGTCCCCAGTGTCCCCAATGTCCCCA